ATAGGTCGATGAACATCTTTGTGGCGATGTTGGAAGGTGAAAATGAAGTTGGTGGAACATCTGGAGCCGCACAGTATGACGCTGAAAATCGATAGGAAGAAATACTTGAAGATTCCAGTGAAGATGAAGAATCTGAAGATCCGCATTTGGATGAGGATGACGTTATGTTCGATGGTGATGAAGCTGATATCAATATTGGTGAATATATGACACCCTATCAACCTACCCCTCATATGCAGGAGATTGATTATTAAGCAATGAGGGCACCGAAATTCTCGGATATACCACATTTAACTTCAGGCTACATGATTGAATCATCCGATAACTCTGGTGAATTATCAGTTGGGAAGCAATATAGAGGAAAAAAAGAAGCTACACTAGCGATTAAAGAGTATTGCATAAGAGGCCATGTAGATTGCAAGGTTGTAGAGTCCAACCAGAAAACTTTGTACGCGAAGTGTGTTAAATATGGGCCTGAGTGTAAGTGGCTGATCAGAGTGTCCAAAATACAGAGGCAAGATGTTTGGGTCATCAAAAGGTACAATTATCCACACACATGTTTGCAAAACTCTGTCGAACAATACCACCGGCTACTGGACTCCGATGTAATTTGTCAATATGTGAAGGTTTTGGTTGAACAAAATCCAAGGATCCCTTGCTCGGTGTTAGCTGCATCTATAAGGGACCAGTTCGGATATAATGTAAATACAAACTCATTTGGCATGAGAATGAGAAGGCAATGAGGTTGATATATGGTGATTGGGGTACATCATGCAATGAGTTATCTGATTTGTTACGAGCTATGAAACAATTCATACCTGGAACCATCGTGAAGTCTCAAACCATACCTGCATACAACCGAGAAGGTCAACTTGTTCTAGGGAAGAGAATTTTCCATAGACTATTTTGGGCATTCAAGTCATGCATAAAAGGTTTTCCATTTTGTAAACGTATGGTCCAAGTAGATGGTACGTGGTTATACAGTCAATACAGACATATATTATTGATAGTAGTTGCGCATGATGGTCAACGAAATATAATCCCAATTGCATTCGACATCGTTGAAGGAGATACGACAAAGGCTTGGGACTTCTTTCTGACTAATCCACGTAAGTATGTCGTCCGAGAAGAAGGAGTTTCCTTGATATCTGATCGAGGAACAGGCCTCTTTGCAGCAATTGAACGACCGGGTAGTCGTTGGACACCTTCGCACGTATATCCCGCATATTGTATCCGTCATATTGGTAAGAATTGTATTGAGAAGTTTCATAACGATCGTATTCGTAGGGAGATAGTCAGCATGGGTAAAAAAAAATTCAGCATTTGTACCCATTTATATGTTTGTTTATAAATTAACTTTAGCAGAATATCTATTTTGAACCAGGATATAAACTATGCGAACCAAATTTTGATAAGAGATTAAAGGATTTGAAGGCCATAGATGAGCGTGTTTGGAACTGGGCGTCGAAAATCGAGCGGGAGAAGTGGTTGCAAGTCGGTTTCGTTGTGGTCATTGTACTTGTTCAGGAGTTTGTTTATCATAACCAACATGCTCGTTCATTATAACCAACCTGCTCATTCATCGAGGGCATAGGTTCCGGTGTTGTTAATATATGCCCACCACCACTATGCTTTCCCATCTGAGGACAAATACTCGTACTTGTCATCATAGATGTCATCTGATCAATTATTTGTTGCCCCAAACATGGGAGAGAACATGAGTGATTGATGAGGAACATGCTGAGGAGTGTAGGGCGTAACACCAGAATCACCAACCACTTGACTAAATGATCTTGTGTGATCAAAAGATTCTGGTGGGATATTATCCATTGCCTCTTGTTCTGCTCCACGGTGAGAAGAACTCCCACTTCTTCTTGGTTTTTCGGGTTTACCAAATTTTTTTGTATACTCTATAAATTGTCGTCTTTCTCTGTCCGTTGTCAAGAACGACTTTCCATGTTCCCAAAAATAATTTAGGTAATCCGAACTCTGGAAGTCAAAGTCATCCACTTGTATGGGAGTGAGCGTTGGCAAGTATGAACCCATGTTATTCCAATGATTGATATGGTTGGCATGCCTCACCGACCCTATCCCGCCCATCTAATTTGTGAAGAGCGTCATGATTCTTTGGAATTACTGGAATAGGTTGGTGGAAGCCGAACTGTCTCAACACTCTATCGGCAAATTGAAACTCCACAAATGCGAAATGGATCAATGGTGTAACAACACACCAATATTGACAACCCTCCCAGACATATTGCGGTACGCACGACATAATTTCTTCATCATCATACGGCCTCCAAATAAACTATAAATCAAAATTATATAGTTATTATTTAATTAAATAATTATAAAAATCAGAAAATAAATAAAGAACAATATTATAATATATACATAATGAAAAATAAATTCGCTAAATAATCTTATATATACCTCAACTTTGCATTTGATGTCAATCTTAAATCTAAACTCTTTCACGTTATTATGTGCCAACCACGTTCTTTTTATTTTATGCCTCCATCTGTATACCAATCAAAATAAAATTCTGTAATTATTTTTCCTTTACAAAATATTCTTTAATTAATTTAAGATCAAATATTTTAAATAAAAAAATTACCTTCCGACAAGAGGAAAACCAACTGCAGTTCGGCTAATCGGTGTTAACCATGGAATTTTGTACCATGCCCACGATTGTAATAACATCGTGCATCCACCGATTTCAGTCATATACGCATCATTTACAAGTAATGACGCCTTGCACATCTCGCGATACAAGAACACCAATATTGTCGATCCCCAACTATACTGAAGGGTCATAAAGAAGTTATCCAAAAACGGAGTATATTTTATATGGACAAGATTACTGATTTATCCGGTATCAAGATTCCGTCGATCAATCATAATATATATGCTCGAGATGCATATATAATGTCTTGCTCACTACAATGAGGATCGAGCTTAAACTTATTTGCCAACCAGGATAATCTTAGCCGTGACCCTTTTGTTAAATCTTTGTGTGGTACCTTCCCAAGGTAACTCTCATATATTGCAAACACATTAAGCTCAGTATTTCCCACCACTGCCATTCCATTTGTAGGAACACCGAGTTGTAAAGTAACATCCTCCAAAGTGATCGTACATTCACCACACAGAAGATGAAAGGTATGAGTTTATGGTCTCCACCATTCAATTAATGCACTGATCAAACCGGAGACCAATTGAAATTCTCTTACAAAAGCGACATCATAAAAACCGACTATTTTCAAATTATCGACAATACGTTGATCTGACATCTCACAATTGATAAGTCGAGGACGAAGGACTCGTTGTTCGTCATCCTGCAATTTGTTAATCCATGTAATTAGAATTAATTCATCTTTCTCTAATAAAAAAATATTATTCGATCATATTATCAGTTCTCCCAAATGACTCGAAATGTGTCGACCGTCTAGCCTCAAAAGAACGTTTTCTTTTGCTATGTTTCAACAAATCTAGACACAAAAAATTAAATATTACACTCAAATACAACTTAATATGTTGGAAAAAAAATAAACGGAGTTCACATGGGAAACGAGAGAGAACTTACGAATTTTTCATTATAACAACCGGTTATTGTTTTATTCAAGTTTTCAACAATAGCAAGGAAGTTATCTACTTTAATAAAAAAAATAAAAACAATAGTAATGATATTCGATCAACATTTTCACTCACATGAATTTTCAAGCCTTATTTTCTAATTTGGTTCTCAACATTTCTAAACTTTGCAATTTAATCCCTAAACTTATAAATTCTTTCAAATTAAACCAATTAAGCATACTAATACTAAATTCCAGCATAGTATACCAAATTTTAATAATTTACATCTTAATCCTTAAATTTCTAAAAGTTTGCAAAAACGTCCTTATAACTTTTTAATGTTCCACAATGGTCCAAAGCTTATTTCAAAGTATGTAACAACATATAAATCAAAATTTCACAACATGACAATAATCATAAAATTACATTAATTTTTTAACCGTAAACTAAGAAATGAAAGAATGAACAGGTGGATAAAACACTAAACCTTTAAACGAAGAAGAATATGAGATCTACGGCTGTAGTTTTAAAATTACCTGAATTTTTTTACCACGATAATTTCCTCTCCTCTCCTCAAACTTTTTCTTCTGTAATTGGAATCCCCTGCACATTTCATTCCCTAACCCAACCGAGCCCTCTTATTATAAGTGTCTCGTGCATTAAATTATTGGCATCCCTGTGTTCTTGCATTATTGGTGAACCTATTGCGTCCCGTGCATGCATTATTGGTGGACTTATCCCGTGCATGCTGCTGATGAAGAAGACGTTGAGAAATCCACCCCCAAGGCTGAAGAAGACGTCGAGAGATCCTGCCACATGCGAAAGACGCCGAGACATCTCACATGCAATATGAAGAAGACGTCGAGAGATCCCATTGCATGCATGCATGCAAGATTCCTGCGCCTTCTCTACTCACGTCCACATGCATATATTCAGCAGCAGCTGCTCACGTCGAGGCCCCCAGCTTCAACAGCAACAGCTCCCACATGCAACAGTAAATATGAAGACGTCGAGATATCCATTGAAAGAATGCAACACTAAAGACGCTGAAATATCCCAACCTTTACATGTTATATATAGCAAACACCCTATTTAGGGAAATAATTGTCTGATTTCATTATTTTAGAAATTAAACATTCACATATGCATTATTTGGGTTGTTTTGCCGAAAGCGATGGGTCCAACATGTCAATAAAAAATTGTTGCATTTTTATTGAATAAAATGCAAATTAATTTCATTTATGTAATAAACATTTATAATTTTTAGAGTAAAAAGGACAGAGTGCAAATTTTTAATTTTTAATGTTTAATGTTTGAGTGCAAAATTTTAGGTCCAGCTATGACGCCTGCGTGTTTGCTAATCAGTTGAGACTTTTGAGTTTGAGAGGGATATTTGTTAAAGGAAAAAAAATTGTTCCTATTTTATTAAAAAAAAAAGAGAGGAAGGAAACAAACAAAGAAGCAAGTAAAGTCGGTTTTCTTTTGTGCATACTAAGATTAAAATTTCAATTTTGAAGGTCGGAGAATGAGATTCTGAGTACTTTTTCCCCCTCTGAATTGGGGTCTCGATCTGGGTTTCTTAGAACTGGTTGTTTTGTATTAGATTTTGACTCTTTTCTATCAATTTTTGCTCTTGAAAGATGGAGCAATCTATTTCTCAACACTCATCCAATGCTCTAAGAGGGTTTCGAGTTCAAGCTCCATTGGTAAGCTCTTACCCCTTTTCTGTGAAATTTATGATTTTCTTAGAGATACACAGCTGATGAATGTATTGAAAACTTTATTTGAAGATTCCTCTCTGTGATTTGGTTTTAATGGAAATTTGAAGATACCCAGATGGGTAATTTACTTAACTGAGAAATTGGGGTTCTAAAACATGAGACTTTGACAAGGTTTAGTGTTCTCTACAATGGGTTCTTTTTTTTTTTAAAAGCTTAGTTGTTGTTTTGTTTATTGATGATGGGAGTTCTGCTCTTTTCACTGACTTTTTCCCTCTTTGGGGTAGCTATTGAGTTCGAGATCAAATCCTTTTGAACCAATCTACCATTGTTTTTGGCGGTAATTTGGGATTGGTTCAAAAAGAATTTGGACCAGTACTACAGTTTCTATATTATATCTGGAAAAATCTGAGATGCAAAGTTTCTAGGAGTGAAGATGAACTCTTATATTGTGGTCATTGATTAAAGCTAATGATGCATAAGTGGTTTTAGAATTGGTAAAATGGATGCCCTCCAATCTCAGTACAGTAGAAGAAATTGCAAAGAAAGAGTTTTCGGGCGAATTTGCACCATGGCTTCAGTAGCTGAAGCTTTAGATAGAATTCTCATCACAATGTGGCATCTGGCACATGCCACGTTAAATTGAACAGCTTTTCATGGAATCAAATAAATAATCAGGGTATGAGTTGATCAACTGGTAATTTCTGATTTGTCTTTAGAAAATTTGAAAGTTTTCTTTGGTTATCATCTGGAAATGATACAGATTGTTGCTTTTGTTGATATTCTTTGTAAGCCCACGAATCAGGAGTAAGGAAAGCATAATGAATGGTCGATTATGCATTCAATGTGAATAATTTGTTTCTTTTTCTTTCTTTTTTTCCTGTTCAACATCTTTATCATATTCAGTTGTTCGTTGTTTTTGCAGGTTGATTCGGTATCTTGCTATTGTAAAGTGGATTCTGGATTGAAGACTGTTGCCGTGGCAAGAAAATTTGTCCCTGGATCGAAGCTCTGTATCCAGCCTGATATCAATCCCAATGCGCACAAGAGTAGAAGCTCCCGCAGAGAGAGGACTCAAATCCAGCCACCTCTCCTTCCTGGCCTTCCTGATGATCTTGCCATTGCATGCCTGATTCGAGTTCCTCGTACTGAGCACCGAAAAGTCCGCATAGTTTGCAAGAGATGGTATCGCCTTCTGGCTGGTAACTTCTTTTATTCTCTTAGGAAAAGTCTTGGAATGGCAGAAGAGTGGGTTTATATCTTCAAACGTGATAGTGATGGGAAGATATCATGGAATGCATTTGATCCTATCAATCAGTTGTGGCAGCCACTTCCTCCAGTTCCAAGGGAGTATTCTGAGGCCCTTGGTTTTGGTTGTGCTGTTTTAAGTGGTTGCCACCTGTACTTGTTTGGAGGGAAGGATCGACAAAGGGGTTCAATGAGACGTGTTATTTTCTATAGTGCCCGGACAAACAAGTGGCACAGAGCACCAGATATGCTTCGAAAACGTCATCTATTTGGTTCCTGTGTAATAAATAACTGCCTTTATGTGGCTGGTGGAGAATGTGAGGAAATTCATAGGACTTTACGATCCGCTGAAGTTTATGACCCTAACAAGAACAGATGGAGTTTTGTTCAAGATATGAGCACTGCTATGGTACCTTTCATTGGGATAGTTTGTGATGGGAAGTGGTTTGTAAAAGGAATGGGATCCCATCATGAGGTTATGAGCGAAGCATACGATCCTGAATCTAATTCCTGGTCTCCTGTTAGTAGTGGAATGGTTTCTGGTTGGTGCAACCCTAGCATCTCTTTAAACGGACAGCTCTACGCCCTAGATTGCCGTGATGGATGCAAGCTTAGGTTGTACGATGGAGCCACTGATTCATGGAATAAATTCATTGATAGTAAGCTTCATTTAGGGAGTTCTCGAGCCTTGGAGGCTGCTGCCCTTGTTCATCTCAACGGCAAGCTTTGTATCGTCCGCAATAACAAGAGTGTTAGTCTCGTCGATGTATCCAGTCCGCACAAACAGGTTGAGAGCAACCCTCAGCTTTGGAAGAACATTGGTGGCAGAGGTCATTTGAGGACTCTTTTTACAAATATATGGTCAAGTATAGCAGGCCGAAGTGGCGTGAGAAGTCATATTGTTCATTGTCAGGTCCTTCAAGTATGAGGAGGGGGATTAAGATTCAATTATCCATGTCGAAATCTCCTTCCTCATTTAGGATCGTCATGCCTCGGTGTTCGGATTTCAAATGTCCATTCATTAATATCGATGGTGACCAACCAGGGGAGGGGATTGATTAAGAATGTTCTCGTGATCGACTCGAAGAAGTGAAACAATGAAGTCGTCGTCCAAGGGCGGTTTAGAGATAGATGTTGAAGACCGGCGGGGACGTCATCCCATGATGCATTGCAGGTGAGGTGGTTCACCATTGATGGGGCTGGTCCTTCACATTCACGAGGAGAGCAAATTCTTGTAAATGGTGATTTAGGGTTCAAGACTTTTTGTAGCATGTATTAAAGCCCTAATCTTAAATGTACAATGTCTTTTGAGGATTAAGATGTTATTAATGATTAGGGTAATTGAGGCAGATCTAGTGCTGGAAACATGTTGATAATTGGATTAGTGGAAGAAACAACAATAAATGTCCGACACATAATCATTATTAGCCTCTTTAATCACTGTTGGGAATGGAATCAAATCAAATAAAAAACATGACTTAGGTCAATTGTTTATTTGTCAGAAAGTTCATCAGTGAAGCATGCGCTGAGCGTGCCGCCTCCCCCCCCCCCCAATTATGTCTTGCTGTCGGTCGTTATGGAGAGAGCCGGAAGACATCTTATGTTTAAACTTGTAATAATCATAAAATTATAATATAATCAACTAATAAAATTAAAATTTATTTAATTGTAATCATTTTGACATTGATTCTTTACTCTTAAAAGGTCGATATTTATTATTTCAAACTTATATCCTCACGGGATTCTTGTTATATATGTGAGCGATCTTTAGATAAAAATAATTTATCATAATATTAAGAGTGCTTTTGATAGAGTATGCTTGCAATACGTGAAAGAATGAACTTGCTTTATTTGTTAGTATTATAAAAAAATTAAATTTATTAATTTATTTTAAATAAGAATGAAGTTTTTTATAATAATGTTTTAATTATAACTTCTGAAAGAATAAAAATGGTTCATTTATTATCAAATTAATAATTTAATGACCGTAAGTGTGTTTTATCCAAAATAAGAATAAATGAATAAAAAGTTTTGATGATAGTTATGGATAGAGTGATGAAAAGGCAGTACGAAGAGGATGGGTGATTAAGCACGACACGTAATAAGGGACAAACACTTGAAGTTGATGAAACGTGACACTGGTAAAGTCCACCAACCTTTTCTTCTATTCCTTACACGTATTCTAACATTAGGGTAAATTGTGCATTTAGTATTTAAGTTATCACTTTTTTATCTATTTTAATATTTAAATTTTTATTTTTCAAACATTATCTAATATTTAGTTTCCATTTCATTTTATTAACACACTATTAAAAACTTCACGCATTCATTATCTCAACTATCAATTTTGGTTCATTTTAGTAATTAAATTTTTAATTTTTCAAAACTTAACTTTAAATTTTTAACTTTATACTAAAATAGAAATAAAAACTAAAATTTTTAATGATATGTACTAAAATGAAAGAAAAAAACTGAATTTTAAGTATATTTTTAAAAATTAAAAGTTTATATACTAAAACAGACAAAAACTGATAGTTTGTGTGATAAATACATATTTTATCCAAAAATTATTTTTTTGTCAAAACAAGTTAATTCTTTATACAAACAATTAGTATTGAAGAATATCAGGGTCGGGGTTAGGACGTTAGAGGTCCTGTGCAAATTATTAAAAAGATGCCCTTAAATTCTTAAAAGAATACCCTTAGTAAAAATTGCAAAGCTTGAATGCAGTATATATAGGGAGATATGTGATATTACTAACTCAAATCTTAACGGTGTGAGATAGGAAAATCATGAAGATAAGCTCATTTCTCGTTAAGTGGAGTTAGACAAAAAAAAGATTTTTATTGTAATAAATCTAATTTTTTTAGGCCCTTGCTATTCCGGGGCCCTGCCCGGTCATACTTGTTGTGCTGCCTTTAGCCCCGCCTCCGAAGAATACCATATAATATCCAATTATTTAATAATATGTATCTCATTTCCCACGTAACCTAGCATATCACGATCTCTTTTATCTCCCGACACAAATTCCAAAAGTAAAATGCCAAACAATTTAGGCATCCATCTCCATGTCCAAGCAGGGACACTTGCTCAAGATCTACAAAGAAAACGATGTTATAATAATATGTCTCAACTCTCGTGCATGAACCATGTTACATTGTGTTGGAAGCGTAGATGAGTTCTCGATAATTTATAACTCGAACTTTTATTTATTGATACAAAACAAAATATTTTACAACGACACTACCTCAATTTTACAATACTACAATACTAGCTGCGGCTAGTTTACAAACGCAACCTCACTATTTTCAGCTTTGCTAAGCTCTCTCAATTCTCTCTAATTTTTCTCTCGTATGTTTTTCTTTTCTCTCTACTCACACATTTACATGTTTGATTTGCTCACACACATATATATATATATAATAAACAGACATTGAAGATTGTAGAAGCTGCTCAAATTCTCCATTATTGCCGCCTTATTGCTTGTCTTGATTTGCTTTCATTAAAAAAAATTGCCGAAATACTAGTGCATTTAGTGAGTGCACTGCCATGTTTTAGCTTTCTACACAAGTCTTTTCAACAAGTTGAGTTTGACTTCCAGCACTCTCCCTCAAACTCGACTTTCCATTCTGAGTTTTTCTTTGAGTCGGTTGAATATATTTGCTCTCAATAGTTTTGTGAAAATATCTGCTAGTTGATCTTTAGTTCTGCAGTAAATTAGCTCCATATTTTTGTTCTTCACCTGCTCTCATATAAAGTGATACTTTGTATCGATATGCTTGCTTCGGCTATGAGAGACTGGATTCTTAGCAAGGGAAATTGTAGACTTGTTGTCGACATAGATTGTAATTGGTTCTTCTTGTGCCAAATTTAGCTCGTGCAAAATATTCTTTAACCACATTGCTTGGCAAGTGCACGCTGCTGCGATTATGTATTCAGCTTCACATGTTGAAAGAGCTACCGTTTGTTGCTTCTTTGATGACCATGAAAATGCTGCAGAGCCGATATGAAATAGATATCCAGTTGTCCTTTTCCGATCATCTAAGTCTCCCCCATAATCACTATCAGAATAACCAACCAGCTTCGAATTTTCTGAATGCGTGTAGAATAAGCCATGACCTGTTGTACCTTTGACATATCTAAGGATGTTTTTTGCTGCAATCCAATGATCTTGTTTCGGATTCTCCATGAATATGCTTAACAATCCCACAACGTATGTTATGTCTGGTCGTGTGATAGTTAGATACCTTAGACTTCCAACGATGCTTTTAAACAACGTCGGATTCACTTGCTCTCTTGTTGAATTCACACTTAATTTGACTCCTGGTTATGCTGGAGTGGCTACCGGCTTGCAATCTTCCACTCTGAATTTTCTTAAAATTTCTTCTGCATACTTCTTTTGTGATATAAATATTCCTTCTTGCATTTGCTTCACTTCAACTCCAAGGAAGTATGACATTTCTCCAATATCTGTCATTTCAAATTTTTTAGTCATAGCTTTCTTAAAATCATTGAACATACCTGGATTATTTCCTGTGAAAATCATGTCGTCCATATATAAGCACACGATCATGATATCACCGTCTTCAGTTTTATTTGTGTATAAGGCATGCTCGTATGGACTCTTCATGAACCCGTTTCTCTGGAAATATTCATCAATCCTCGTGTTCCATGCTCTCGGGGCTTGCTTCAGACCATATAGTGCTTTCTTCAATCGATAAACTTTGTCTTCATGTCCCTTTTTAATGTATCCAGGTGGTTGCTCAATATAAACTTCTTCTTCTAGGTAGCCATTTAGAAATGCTGACTTCATATCCATTTGATAAATTTTCCATCCATTTGATAAATTTTCCATCCTTTTTGTGCTACGACTGCTGTGAGAAGTCTGATGGTCTCGATCCTTGTTACTGGAGCAAATACTTCATCATAGTCTATTCCTTGTCTTTGCTTATAACCTTTGACAACTAGCCTCGCTTTGTTCTTCTCGACCTTTCCTTCTTTATTGGTCTTTGTCTTGTAAACCAATTTTACTCCAATTGGGTTATGGCCTTCTGGTTGTCTTGTTAGCTCCCATGTATCATTTCTTTCTATTGATGCAATTTCTTCATCCATTGCATTCCTCCATTTGTCATCTTCAACCGCTTCTTCGTATGTTATTGGATCACTGTTCACAAGCAAGCAGAAAAGTGAAACATTATTTAGTTCATAATCGTTGTACCTTTCTGGCATTCTTCTCTCTCTTATGGATCTTCGAACTTCTGTGGGAGGTGCTTCAGAATCTTCTATTATGTTGCTGGCATCGTTGCTGCTGCTTGACGATGATGGTATATTTTGTTGAGGACCTTGATCATCAACTTGTTCATCATCTTTATCTTCATTAAAAAATAGTCCTTCAACTTTCTTTTCCTCTTTGCTCCACCTCCAATAGTCTGCTTCATCGAACTCGACATCTCTTGAAATAATTATCTTCTTGGTAAGAGGATTATATAATTTGTAAGCTTTTCTTCTTTCATCATAGCCAATGAAAATACATTTTTCTCCTATGTCATCAAGCTTCTTTCTGGTCTGTTCAGGAACATGGGCATATGCGGTGCATCCAAAAATCTTGAGGTGTCCAACTCCTGGTTTCTGTCCACTCCATGCTTCGTTTGGCGTCATATACTTCACACTTTTTGTTGGACATCGGTTCAATAGGTAAACTGCACATCGAATTGCTTCAGCCCATAAATTTCTCGGTAGTTGCTTGCCTTTTATCATGCTTCTCGCCATATCTAGGATTGTGCGGTTCTTTCTTTCTGCAACTCCATTTTGTTGTGGCGTGTATCTGGCTGTCAGTTGATGGATGATGCCATGCTCTTTGCAAAATTCTTCAAATAACTTTGATGTATATTCGCCTCCTCTATCTGACCTGAGTATCTTTAAATATTGACCGCTTTGTTTTTCCTCCATTGCTTTAAATTCTTTCAATTTTTCCAGCGCTTCTGACTTTTCTTTCAAGATGTAAATCCAACATTTCCTACTAAAATCATCAATAAAAGTTATGTAGTACTTGTTACCGCCAAGCGATGATATATCAAAAGGACCGGCTATATCTGTGTGTACTATCTCCAGCGGTCTTCGGGCACGCCAGGATCTACCAACTTCAAAGCTTTTTTTATGTTGCTTTCCTTTGATGCAAGCCTCAGATAATTGATTTGGAGGGTTGATCTTTGGTAGTCCTTTCACCATGTTTGTTTTTGATAACAACTTCAAACCAAAAAATCCAAGATGTCCATATCTTAGATG